ACTGGATGATCATTTTGCAAAAGTTTGGGCGACATAGCTACATACATATATAGTCGATTCTCCCTCTGACCGACGGTCCACCTTGTTTGCTCTGTGAAACCGTGTTAAAAAGCCCCTCAGTTTAACGCTCAAATTTACGGAATCGGCTAACCTTCCAGCACCTTCCAGCACCTTCCAGCACCTTCCATCATCGTCCGTCGACGTTCCACCTGCCTCCCTACCTCGTTTTCAAACACCTGCGACTGTTTAGTTAGGACGGGGAACGCGCGTTAATTGACTGGTTTCAACTTATTAGTGTGTCTGCCGTGCATTTTAAAACTGGATTAACTGAGAGCGCTGTGGCACTGGCTGGCTCGGATGGCACTAGGCAAATAACTACCTTGTAGTCGCCACACTCCGAGAGCTCAATGTCACGTAAACTCTTTACTCGTTCGACATTGAGTATTGACTATTCTCTTCCATTTCGAATTTCGACTTTCCAACCATATGTATTCACCAGCACTGCGACAGACACGAATAATAATTCATTCTCGTGCGTGCCAAACAAAGGCAGACCTAGGGCCATTCGAGTCATGGCCGATACCTTTCTCTTCTTCAAGTTGGCAGTATGCTACAACTGTACATTTTAATGTATTTTTTTTTTCAAATTATTCAAGTCTGCACAGTGTCGACTATCCAAGATAAATCCAAGTGATAGTGTAATTGTATGGTGTACGGACTGCCTCCGGTCGACTCTCGCTTTTCGATTGAACGCTGTAAACGAATCTCAAAGCGCGACTTTTTTAAGTGTAAATAAGGAAGTCTACAGGGGAGTATAAACGAACGTAAGTGAATCCAGCGTCCAATGTCCAGAGTCCAAAGCCGACTACTGCCGGTTCGAACGCAACGCCAACGGGAGCAATTAGTTAATTGAGTTGATCGATGAATTTCATTCGCGCGGCGCGGACCAACTCGACGTCTGATTGAGAACATCCACTTGACGCGTATGTACAAACTGCCTGCAGCATTTCCAGCAGGCGTCTCGCTCCGGAAAGTCCAGAATTGCCACCACTACAATCGCCAGCATCAGAACCATTGACACCACTACACTCTCACCTTGGCAGCTCGACATTCGATATTCCTCCTCAGTTTGAACTCTGACACTTGCTCTCATTCTCAGAAGCTCTGCCATTAGTAGAGAGATAGACAGTAGGAATTTAAAGACAAGCCAGCATTTAATTCTAAGTTTGTCCTGTAAAACGGAATAATCAGCAAGCAGAAGAATCGTATATTATGAACACATCGCCCTTGCAAATGACCGAACGAAGAAAGTTAAGGGCAATAAGTTGATTCGTTCGCCCAGCGATGTCGCTCATGGAACACGAGGATACAAAGACGGATGAGCAATGGACAAGGAACGATGTCTCTTCGAAGCGACGTACCGTCATACAGATTCGGAATCATCTGTCCGAGAATACTGGGAAGAGGGCGCGAGACTCCACGGTCTACGGATGTAGATAAAGCTGCACAGGGACACGGAATTTCGACGTGACTCAGCGGCCTGTCTGGGGAACGGCGAGAGAGTCGCCACTTCACTCGGTGTTTGGGATTACGAAGAATCGAGAAGTAGTACTACACACCTCTGTGAAGTTAGCCCATCACTATGCTCATTTAAAAAAAAATAGTTGGAGTTCTCATTGCCCGCAGAAGAGTTATAGAGTTCCTGATGGTTTTTAGAAATAGTTCTGTCGATTAAATGTGGAAAATCGCGATGTAAAAAATGAGGGGCTAACTTCACGGCGCCCACCATTTTTGAAGAATGTAATTTTTTTAGGATTTCTGAATAGATTAACAATAGTTCTGTATAGTTTTCGGTACTTTTTATCAATAGTTCCGGTCATTATCCGCTTGAAAATAAAATTTGAAAAAATGCGTTAGCCTACCATCTTTTAGAAAATCGTATTTTTTTCAGTGTTCTGGATAGTTCTCAAAGAGTTCTAGAGTTCCCTGCAGGTTTTGGGTACAATACTGTAACGTAGTTCTTTTCCTTAACTCGACACCGACAGCAAAACATCCGAGAACGAACTATCTCCGAGAAACAACCTGCGTTACCTTCGGCCGTCCACCTTTCGCTCACGCATCCGTAAGCCAGGCGGACGCCAGCCAATTCTTTTTCCACCGGGAACTGACGAGCCGGTATAAACTGGGAGTTGGGGTTGAACAGGCCCAACTCCACCAAGAACGAGAGCTCTGACGGAACCTATCGGACGAGGCGATAGCTTAACGGATCCTGTCGATTTTTGGGGAAGCGTAAAATCGAGAAACTCAACCGTAGGTGCTGATCTTTGGGGTCGCGTAAAATCAGCAAACGCACGGAGAGCGAATCTTAAGTATCTATCGAGATCCCTTCACCAATTAATAAATTGGGAGACTCACCGGAGCTGGTGCAGCTAATCCGTGGAGGCCGAGAACTGCATCCCAAGGACACTCTGGTGGACACTACACTAAAGCACTGCACTACACTTCCGGAACACTCACAGGAATTCATAGAATTGCCTGGATATCGCGAGAACAACGCGAGGACTGTACGAACCGAGAACTTGCTATACCGTAGCGAAACACGGCAAGAAAAACTATCAACAGATAGCACGGGAGCACGAGCCAGCCCGTGACACCTCGGTCGGTGCCCGGAAACAAACTGCTTTGACAATAGCCAAACTGCAATAGCCAAATGCCAAATCCGAGAAGCAATCATTCTGATTGGTCGAGAGCCTTTTAACCAATAACCCTTCTATCTCCTTCCAGTTATCCCTTTAAACCAAATCGAGAGCATTTCTTAACGAAACGGTACGTAACTTTTGGAGATCCTCCACGCGGCCGCTTCCCCAGGACATCGGGCGACAGCTGGGCACCACATCCTTAACTCGGGCAGGAGGTTCCTCTCCTGCCCTTAACCGTGTCACAAATATCTCCACCCGCTCTACAGACCTTTGCCCATCTCCAGCGAGGCGCCGGTGTTTCACCCGGGCTTCCGCCGATCCGCGGAGACGTCTCCGTCGGGTCGTCTCCTCTGCCGGGCAACTCGGTACGTCGAGACTATCTCCCCACGGCAGATTCGAGCACCTCGACCTCAACTAAACCATAATGAAATCTTACGAGAGCCTTGACATAACTATACGAATGAACCCGAGAGTGTAGCTTCTGAGCAGGGTGGCGACCCGAAGGGAACCAGAAATCGAGAACGTTATCTGTATCGGTAACCGGAGCCGCCTTGGGACCGTGATTCGAAAAATCACGTCACAATACATATCCAGATTTCGTCAAAAAGTCATTTTGAAATGAGTATTTCAAAAAATCAATTAATTGTATAAAATCTGATACTCCCGAAATACTGGATGGATTAATTAAGTCCAAGTATTCGTTTTGTAGAACTCTGAGAGCTATCAGGAACTCCTATCAGAACACCTGGAACTCTTCATTCTTTTTTTTTCTCGAACCTACCCTACTTGCTGCACAGAATGTTCGAAGTTGCAGAGCTCTTTCAATTTTCGTTTCTCAGTTTTTTGCCATAAGAATTATCGATAGAACTCTTTGAGAACTATCCAGAACTCCGCCGTGAAGCTAGCCCCTCATTTTTTTAAATCGCGATTTTCCACGTTTAATTGACAGAACTATTTCTAAAAACCATTAGGAAATCTAGAACTCTTCTGCGGGCAATCAGAACTCCAACTATTTTCTTGAAATGAGCATAATGATGGGCTAACTTCACATAGGTGTACTACACGTGGGCAACCAACATTTAGGCGCAGTCGATCTCAGGATCCCAACGTGACGATTGGCGGAGAGGGCAAGGAGCGTGCTCCAGAGAGGCCGTCATCAGGAGATTTGCACGTGACTGCGACAGATCCAGAGGTTCGTCCAATTCGCAACGGACGCTGAATAACTGAATACCAATTTAGGAGGCTAATTTCGGAACATCGGTACTTAAACCTAACTATTTGGGGAATGAGCTGATCCCAGCTATATTGTCTCCCCCTGCCCCTCCCCCTCCGCTCATCATACACGCACACACGCATACCCTTTCATGATTACGAATGATGCGTAGAAGCGCAACCAAGGTCCGTCCGAACATTGACACACGTGTCCTTCTTCCCATCTTGTACCTTTGTGGAAATGCCGCCGCCGCCGCCGCCGCCGCCGATTACATTTTCCGAGCAAGTCTCTCCCTCCCTATACCTACTCGCACTCACAATCTCTCCTTCTTCGTCGCGCAGATCCTTCTAATACTCCCGTTCACTCTGTCTCGTCTCGCCTTACGAATCTTGGGAACCTTAGGAACCTCTGCCAGTTCCTCATACAAAAGGTAGCTGACTCGGAAAGTTTCTTCTCGCGAGTAGGTAGAAGGTCGACAGGCCGCCGCATCTGTTGCTCGCGACGCTGCACGCAGAAAAGCTCGGATCTACGAGACAGGATCGTAGCTGCCGAATTGAAATCAGAGTCGAAAGGCCGCAGGAAATAATGGGCGATTCTCGGAGTGCGGATGATGTCGCGCGGACTAGTAGTACGTGCCTGTTACGTGGGGTAGACCGTGGGTGGGCCGTGCACGTTGAGTCTATGCGTGCGTCGAGGGTCTCGAGGGGTCGTGAGATCGCCGCGCCGAGCAAATAGTATAGACTGGCTGACCGACTGGCTCAGTGGTGCACGTGGTCCTTGACCGACGTTGTGACTCCCAAACGGAGTAGGCCTGGCTGCTCCGTTGTCCTCGCTGGAGAAGAAGGTAGCAGCCTACAAGCACAAAAGCGCGGCTGTCCGAAGTTATTGCGAGGCCTCTGGGAAGTCAATGCACGAGTCGAGAACCAAGAGGACTCCGAGAGCCTGTTCAAGTAGTCGAGCCGATCGGGTGGTCGGCCGTTCGGCCGTTCGGCCGTTCGGCGGGCATCTTGAAGAGGATAAATCGGGCAAGCGAGCAGATCGGAGCAGGCCGAGCAGGCGAGTAGCTCGCACTCGGAGGCGGACCGTGCTGGCCCCCTCCCGCCGGGAGTCTCTGGTAGCCGCGCAAGCGCGTCCGTCCTCTCGCTCGCTCTCCCGCTCGCGGGATCGAGCTCTCTCTCTTTCGGCCAGAGTTTCCGCAAGGACGCCCCTCGCCCCCCGGCGAGAGCGCAGTGTCGCGTCGAACCTCTCGCAGAGCGCGTCGCACGTCTGAGTACCGGCCGCCGCCCGTCATCAGTCGCCGTACCGCGCAGCCACGTAACTCACCTTCTTAGTTTTTAGTAGTCAGTAGTAGGGAGTCGCGTTTTCTGTCTATCCACGCGATCCGATCGACGTAACTCGACGTGTCCGGCGACGACGACGACGTGAAATCACCACAACCACCACCACACCATAACACCACCACATCACCACCATCGCCGCCATCACCACACCGCCACCGCCACCGCCACCGCCGCCACCGCCATCACCACCACATCCATCATCAACGTCATTGCCATCGCTACCGCCAAACCGCCACGGTCTTCACTGAACCACTGACAATATCATAAGCAAATAGCTGATTTATTGATATCATTACAACTAGTAGAAGGATCAACACAAGAGGCATCGCAAGCGACAGCACTGGTACCTTCCTATAAAAAGTTGGCAGTAGCAGTGATAGCCGTCACCGTCACCGGTAGAAAGTCACGGATCGTCAAGTGGAGAGAACAAGAGAGAGCGAGAGAAATAGAGAAATAGTGACAGAGAGGGAGGGAGGGAGAGCGAGAGAGACAGAGGCCACCCCGCGACAATCTCATTGAGCCCTGCGTGAAATGGAACCTCAGAGTCAGGAGATCGTGGCAAGCGGCTCGCCTGCTGAGGTGCCCAACGATCCAGGGTACGAATCATCCCTCTTATAAAACGGATCCAGGCAGAGCGAACAGACCACAACCATGATATGCGAGGAGATGAAAAAGGAGTGAGAGGGGAGGGGGATAGAGAGGGAGGGAGGGGGAGAGGGAGGGAGAGAGAGAGAGAGAGAGAGGGAGAGAGAGAGAGAGAGAGAGAGAGAGAGAGAGAGAGAGAGAGAGAGACGGAAAGGGGAAAGCAATGGAAAAGAACGCGCGCGATCTCTTTTTCCCGAGAGGCTGCGATCGAAGGAGTGAGAGGGAGTGCGAGAGGGTGCACGAGGAAGAGAATGTGAGAAAGAGATGGAAAGAGTGGGGAGAATGAAAGGGTGGATATTACGACTACTGGGACTATGGTAGAAAAGAACAGCCATGGCCGCCGCACAATTTCAATCGCAAACAAGAGTTTGCAATTTTAAGAAGAAAACTATATTCTTTAATCGAAATTCTGCACCTTCTCTGCGTTGGAAAATGTCTATCGCGTGTCTCCCTAAAACCGAATATTAGCATCCACCGAACCTTCCCAGACTCGAATCAGTAGACTGTTATCGTACCTCTCAGACATGTACAAGCGAGCGAGAGAAAGAGAGAGAGAGAGAGAGAGAGAGAGAGAGAGAGAGAGAGAGAGAGAGAGAGAGAGCGAGTAAATATGCGGTGAGGGGAAATAAAGTGGGTGGATGGAAGGGAGTGAGTTTCGGAGGGCGGTTGTAGGCGCTACTGAAGCCGCATAACCCATGGACTCCCCCACCGCCCTCGTCCCAATACGGAAGCAATCTAATAAAAATTGACAAGTGTACACTGGCATTTCGGTGATTTCATAATGTTGTGTTGCGTTATGTTGTTTTCCGGTTACGTTCGGTTTCCCGGTTTACGCGATAGCGTGTCTATCGGCGCCAGCTCGATTGAAATACTTGGTGATTATATTATGTTCATAAACGTGATTGCCCCCCCGCCCCCATCCCTCCGTGCAAATTTGACGGTCTTCGATTCACTTTTTCCTCTCTCGGAAGAAAATTTGAGAAATACGGCTACGCCAGTTGTTTTTCCGTTAGTCGACTTTGCCGAATTTCCCGCCCCGAGATGGCATAACCTATTCTGGCCTGGCCTAGCCTGACCTGATCCGCCATGAAGCGTCGACGCCTGATCGACCGTCTCTTCGTGAGCCAACGTTGTTCAGTGCCGCCATGCGAATTTAATTTCAAATGAAAAATTGAGAATCGGAGTCGTGACGTTTTTGCACGACAGGCCGCGTTATTCTATTGTTAAAGGAGAGTGCCTTTCTTAATGTCATATTTCACGTTCAGAATTCAAATCTTACGAGTTGACAGGGGAGAAATATTGTTGCTCAGAAGCCATGGTGAATATTTTAGCCCGAATGTAGTATGGTTCGATCAGTCTAAATAAATGACTGAGTGAGAAGATCGACGAATCCATGATTCGGTGTATCGCATTCACCTTGGCTCAGGATGGAGCTCACCGTTCTTAGGTCTTTGGTAGTTGGTAGTTGGTAGTTGGTAGTTGGTAGTTGGCACTGCTTGGTATGTATTGGAAAATCGATGGCTTCGAACGCGAGTGCGGCGCGGGCCACGTGACTTCATCCATTACGTGGGAATTGTCGCGGCAGAGATATCCGAATGGTCGACCGTACTTGTGATAACAACTCTTCCCGCTGTGCGCTCGGGCTTGATTCTTCAGGCCTTCCTTGAGTAGCAAAAAGGCCGCGACGGCGAGACGAATTATTTCCATTGGAGGATTCCCTCGGAATCGGGAGCTGGCGCTTCCGTTTGCAGCTTCTTCGCTTTCAGCCTAAACGATTTGTCAAGCGAAGCCTGGGATGCAAAGTGTCGAAGCCGAAAATGAAAGCGCGATTCGGTATTTTTCCTACCAATTGAAAGGCGTGCGAGGATCCCAGTATCGATTGGTTACGGCCTGAGAGGCGACACGGCGGAGCAGCAGGGCAGCGCGGGACGTGGACTCGTTAATCCATCGATGAACGAACGAACGAATGGAAGAATGAATGAATGATCGAATGATCGAATGATCGAATGACCGAATGACCGAATGACCGAATGGAAGGAGTGTGACACACGAGAGCGCTTGAAAAAGCGAAAATCAGAATTTAAAAGCTCAACGGCGTAAGAGGAAATTGCAAAGACACGGCGCATTTACTTTACTCGATGTACTAGTGAGGAGGAAATAGGCTGGTCGAGTGTTCCTGAGGCGAGAAGCTCGCGTAATTATTTCGGAAACATTGGACGTGTTTCCTTTTATAATTTTCAGTGACTCATCGATAAAAGAACGCGCGAAAAAGAGATTAAATCGATTATCGGTTCGTATCAGTTTCGCCGGGATAAATCAATTTTTGTTAATTTGAAAGTTCAGTTGATGTGTGGTGACACCTGTCGTCGACAAGTGGAGATTGCGCAGGGGTAACGGAAGTTACCCTCTGCCGACAGCTTCCTCTTTACTTCCTCCTCGCCTTCCTCCCGGGAGACTGGATGATCAGACGATGCTGACGGAATCATCTTTCTTTTCTAGGAAAATGTTCATCGGTGGTTTATCTTGGCAGACCAGTCCAGGTAAGACGATAACATATCTTACAAATCATACCATATACAATATATAGGATATAGTGTATTCTTATTTCTTATTTGTCATTACCGCATCTGCCGAAAAATACGTAGCCGACTGTCCATTTCGGTTTTTCATTTGCTAGATGAGGAAATTCCCAGCCAGTGCTAATTGCCGCCAGATGATGGCGGGAGTGTCGTCAGCGTTACACGTCGTCCTTTCATTGCGTCTTTTTTTCTTCTCTTTCTTCTACTTTCTCATCTATATCGACGAGATAGGCTAACTGACATTTTTCAAGCAACAAGAGAGCAATTTCTCTGTCTACGAATAAGATGTCTCCCTTTTCCTGAACTTTGTACATAAACATATTCCCTTGACTCTCGCACAGTGGAATATTTCGATCCGATATTTTCCCATAAGTAAAGGACTCATAACATTGATGTAGATCAATGCATGCTAACGCTCCTGCGCAACATCAGATCATCCCAAAAGTATTTGAGGAAGAGGAAATATTTAAGGAGAGGAAGAGAGAGAGAGAGAGAGAGAGAGAGAGAGAGAGAGAGAACAGTTTTCCACGAGAAAGAGAAAGGCGATATGCCTGATATCAGTGAAATGGCTTCCTTCCTAGCAAATAGTACGTTCGTGCTCTTGTCGGCCTCTGGATATCTCGACAATTCAGCGGTCGAGGAAGTAGAAGAAGCGTAGAAAGAGCAAGAAGGCAATGGAGGTGGGTGGAGGCCCAGTAGGCTCATTAGCGTTATTTACTGGTATTACGTAAGTCATTCTTGTGTGAGTCTTACTCGAGGCGGCGTCGCGAATCAAGTCCGCTCGGCCTGAAAAACTCTGCTGATGGCGTCCGTAGAGTTTTAGAGGAAATTTCTTGAAAAATCTTGTCATGCCTCTGCTACATTTATTTCTATTTCAATGTCCATTTTCATTCGGGTTCTCATTTCGCATTTAGTCCTTCCTTGTCCCTGATTCCATCGTGTTTCCCATGCCGTTTCGTCGAATTTAAGCGTCGCGACGCTCGCTATTTTCAAAGGTCGCGCTTCCCCGTTCTTATTTAGATCATCTCGACTATCTAAACCAGCAGCACATATCATTACGTGCGCGACTCACTCCAGATAAGAGGTTATTTTCGGTCCACACTAATTGGAATGAGTTATATTTAGAAACGAGCGCTAGGACCGCTCGGACCGCTCGGACCGCTAGGACACGGTAGTTCCCAGCAGAGACTCTTATGTCGGGCTGATTCAGAAAATCACGCTCTGCGTCTCTCTGAGTAATATTTTGTATCTTGGTCTTCGATTCCTCTCGTCCCCCACGTCCCATTTCCCGACCACTTCTTGTTCTTCCTCGCTCTTCCTCCTTCTTCCTCCTTCTTCCTCCGTCTTCCTCCGTACTGACACGTGCTCTACTGTAGTGACCGCTAATCGAGTTGCCGAAACTTTGGGGTTCAGGTATTCCCTTCGGGTCTATTCTTCTATTGGCTCCCGCGTTCACTCTTACTCTTCGAACAGTGGTAGATCGTCCCGATGCGGTCCCACTCCCCCAGCCCCGTCCATCTGTCTCTCTCTCTCTCTCTCTCTCTCTCTCTCTCTCTCTCTCTCTCTCTCTCCTTCGAAGTCTAATGGATGGTAACATTGTCATTATGGATGGGGGAAATTCATGCTAAGTGCAAGGGAACGGGGCATTGGCGCCCGTATAGTGCTTCCTTGACATTAACGTAGTAAGCAATAGGCAGTTCGTGGAATTCCCACGTAGTAAGGCAAAATACAGCCACGTGTCTCAGGTCGATCTACCCGCTGGCTCCCGGAGTATCGTGTGGTTAATCAGATCTGCGCTTACTAACGAGATCCATGAATTGGCGTTCCTTTTCGAGTTTTGCACTGAAGACGGCGATTGCAAGAGCCGTGCCTTCTCGCAGTTACCTAACCTAACGTCTCGATAACGAGATTGAAAACGCAAAGAGGCCCAGACTCTCTGACATCTGACGTCTCCCGACTTGCCGACTTCGTCGTCTGATGCAATCGAGCGCAATCGACTCTTCTCGTTTTGCATCGCCTCGTCCCTCTCGACGCGGCGGCTTCCTTGCTATTTTTAAATGCAGAAATTGTATCTCGACCTCTAAAGCCAAAACTGCTTGGTCGCCTCGCTTGCTGCTTCTCTTCTTCGGCTTCTTCCTGACCCATTTTTTGTGCGGCAGCTGCCATCGTCTTGTCTGCCAACCCTGATGGCCTCAATCTGGGCTGGCCAAGGTAAAGGACAGGAGACGTACGTGACGAGGCGTCGCGCGGCACCGTTAGACGTTCTTCGAGGGTCGCTCCACGGTATTGCCAATCGCATGTTACTGCGGAGCTATGTTCGGATCGCGGTCACATCCTAACCAAACGAAACAAACGAACCAAACGAACCAAACGAACCAAACGAACGGCAGCATCTCCATAGGAATGTTCCTGTCGTGCAGCCAGTTGATTCTTCTAGAGGTTCGAAACTCCAAGAAATTTGGCGACGTACCTGAAAAGTTTGAGGGCTCTGGATTCCTCGATCCCACGGCGACGATACAGCGCTTGTCAACAGACATACGTGTATGTACAATTGTACATGCATACATGGCGTTCATGATGCTCCGGTGACAGGTAAAGGGTTGAGGCGCGCGACGTAAAGCGGCGAGACTATCGGCAGCTGATTCAGCTTTCGTCCTGTGTTCTGTCGTCCTCGCGCGTTCGCCTCCCACCCCTCCCCCCTTCCCCATTGGGTCTTGCTGTCATGCGGGTGGGGTGGCGGGGTGGCGGGGTGGCGGGGCTTTCATTACGCAACTAGGTCGAAAGGAACGCCTAATTTATTTGCAACGTAACTAACTCCTCCTCGACTCTAGCCGACTGCTTGTTAGTCCGTTATTTGTTGGCATAAGCGGGGTCAACGACTCTCATTCTGCATAATTCGTCTTTCTTCGTACTTTCGCGTCACTCGGTCTCTCTCTCTCTCTCTCTCTCTCTCTCTCACACACAGCTAAGAGTCACCGTACTCCTTTTCTTTCCTCTTTGTTTTCAATGCGACTTGGCCAACCCGCTTCGGACTTCAGCCGACTTTATACTCTACTTGACTCTGTACGACCCGACTTTACACTTTACTTTTCTCGGCAGCTGTTCACGCACTTTCTAAGAATTATCGTTGACACCGAGTCTTTCTCTCTCGCTCTCTGTAACCAACCTCATCTCACTCTTGCGCTTCCTCCGCTCATTGGGCAAGCATTCCTTATCTTTTTCTCTTTATCCGTTCTTATCTGTATGTGTATCCCTGAATATCTGCATACAGAAACTAAACGTTGTTCTCTTATCGCGAGACCCTTACACCCGCCGACATACACCACCGCGTCTCCTCTCACTTTTTCACCTCGACTACACGCCGATAAGCTAACTCGAGGCGCGTGATAAGAGACGCTACGTTTGGAGCTCTCTTCCGTTTTTCACGACATCCCGGAAGTTCTTTGAAATTTATTTCCAAAAACAGCTCCCAGCTCCAGCTCCACGTAAAGTCTAACGTGAAGTTCCGCTGTAAGAGAGCCCTCTCGCTCTCCGTGTCGTCGCCATTAATTCCAGGATTCCTGCGAATATTTAGCTGCCACTCGATATCCCCTGTTAACTCGGAGAACTCTGAGAAGATACTCGGATGATCTGAATTGTGTAGAGGAGAGCTTCAATCGAATCGCTGGATCCCACCTACGTCACGGAATGATAACGAGCCCACGTGCTCGAACTGCCTATCACGTCGATAACTGACTTGTGAGTCCTCAAGCGAGCACTCAATGATTTCTACTTGTCATCCGCTATCGGCTACTGTCGCCCACTGCAAGGGGGATCTCATCTGTGTTTTTCTTTTCTTTTTAATTTCCAAATGTCACACGCGCGCTCCTTCCTCTCTGACTGTCTAGTCCCGAAGGATGGTCGCTGGTAGGTTGATCGAGGCGCAGGATAACGGCGTTGCGCAAGCATAAATGTTTATGTTTACGTCATGAGTTGTTTGATAATGCTATCGGTACCGTTTGAGTGTCGATGCTGTCGACGTATCGGCTGAGCCATCTACTCCTCTATTCGTTTATCCGTTTACATGCACACCCATCCATCCGGCTTCTCCTGCCGCTGTCAAGTCTCGACGTGGGGAAGACTTTGAAAAGTTCCCTTTGAAGGTCTACGGCTCCCTCGGGAGTGCCAAAGAATTCCAGATGTATTTTCATACGAACAGGCTTTCCATGTATAATGCTGGAAAGTTACATCAGTCTGCAGCCCTCAATCTGTACTGTTATATTTGCGTAAGTATTCGCCTACTCGCATCTACGGAGCCGAGTCGTTGTTTACGGAAGTGACGTACATTGATCTGTCTCGTCTGCTGCGAGCGTCAGAGTCCGGGTCACCAACACTTAAGCAGGCAGACACGAAGCGTGACGTAGGGTTAGAGAGGGTTAGCGAGGGTGGGCGAGAGTTAGAGAGAGAGAGAGAGAGAGAGAGAGAGAGAGAGAGAGAGAGAGAGAGAGAGAGAGAGAGAGAGAGAGAGAGAGAGAG